TCTCACTCTCACTCTCTCTCTCACTCACTCTCTCTTCCTCTCGGTCGCTTACTCTGTGTCCATCCTGCTTCGAATGTTGTCTTTCTGTGGAACCTTTCGCAAGAAGCTGGGGAAGCTAGGCCAAGAGCAGATTCTTTCTAACGCCCCCGAACCTTAGAAGCAACGTATCGGCTCAGGCGAGTCGCCTTATGGAGATGCGCTCTTCGGGATACATCCGATGAGGGGCTGTCTTGGACAAAAAAGTGCAGGCAAGGTAGCATTTAGGGTTGCGCTCTCTCTTAGATTACCTCTAGAGCTGTTCACGGTCTTGCCACTTCGCACTTGCTCCGAGCCATGGGATCGCATCCATGCCAGCGATTGTCACACTTGGTTCGTATCGGTTTTTGTGGCATGCCAAGGCTGTGAAGCAGGAGGCCCTCACCCGTGGGGAAGTCTTCCTTTGTGGCCGCATCTCAAAGTGTAAGGACCGCTCCCGTGACTTCTGCAGCCTTTGCAGACGCTTCTTTGCTGTGGTACCTCAGGACCGAGAGCAGGTGCGAAGTGAGGTCGACATGCTCCTGAGCCCCTTGTCTTTACGAGAGGAAGGCTTCGGATGGGATTGCGAACCACTATGCTGCCAGGAGAGTTGCAGGTGGATTATGTCGACCTGCTCGTGGCCGAGTGTCCGCCAGAGCTTGCCCCTCGTGGTTTGTCGGGAGCGGTGGAAGGGGACCAAGGAGTTCGGGAATCGGATCAAAGCGGTACTGAACCAGGCAAGTGCCGGCTGCCTGGCCCTGGATAGAGGAGGCAGTGCATTACGCTTGCCTTGTCGGAGTAGGTCTGAAGCGAGCTTTAGCGTCTTCTGAGACTGTCCGCACTTTCTTCGCGACCCGAAAGATTGTGGAGGTTGCGCGAGAAGGCCGCGCCCGTTTCCTGGGCGTCTCCAATTTCGATCTCCTGGGCCCCAAGGCGCGCAGGGCCTTCTTTCCTTTGTGCTTCGTTGTTTAGTCCTGTGATGGCAGCGTGTTTGCAGGCTTTCGGGTGGATTGCGTTGCCTGAGGTGTATGAGGGGTTTCGCTTCAACCACGGCATTTGGGTCCAAACTTCATGAGTAGTCCATTCGTTTAGTTAGGAGAGAGCTATCGAATCAAACACCATCCCGATCACTGTCGTTGCGCCCATAAACTTAGTTGTCTACACGATGACACCTGCTGGTGAGCGCTTGTCCTCGTGGAAGGCCTGACAGTTTTTCCGTTCGAGGTCTGTGTGGAGGTCTTCCGGAAGTTCCTTGCGGGCGTCAAGATGCCGCCTGCGGTATTGGCCATGGAGGCTTGGCACCCTCTTGCAAGCTCATGCCTACTGGTTTGGTTCTGGCAGGTAATGTTTAGGAGTTTAGGGATGTCCGGAGATCAAGAGGGGCGAGACGAAAGGGACCGTAATTAATGTAGGCAGCCAGTCGTGGCAGAGCCCCGAAATTGGCAGGTCCATCCGTTGAACACCAACGAAGAGATGTCCGACTTGTGCCAGAGCATGGGGATTCAGGATCCATTGCTCTTTTGGTTGGATGTATGGGGTCCCTTGCAAGAGCCGTTTGCTTCTTCCGGACTTCTTGGGATGTCTTGGATTGGGCTATAGGTCGTCGGTTCACTCCATTGAGTGAGTGTTTCCAAGACAGAGCAGTGCCGTTGCACCAGTCACCGGTGTAGATAGTAAGCACCGCAGCGACTAGGAATGCTTAATGGTCGTATTGATCGTCGCCAACCTATTCGGAAGGGTGCATGTGTAATATATTGCTTTGAGCGAAGTTTTTTCGCAAGTGAAGACACGCTTGGGGCAGGTCCTGGCCTACTCGCCACTCGGTGCGCCCCATAAAGTGGAGACCTACCTGAAGGCACGTAAGGTTGCAGGTTTCGGGTTTAGTTTAGAGTTTAGGGCTCAGGGTGCCTCCTGTTCTTTCGGCTGTGAGAGCAGGCTGAAATTTTCATGATACAAAGTCGAAGCAGATCGCTGCATGGATCTCCTCTCTGCCCTGTACGAGTGATACTGCTTTTTACCAAGGCCATCAGCACAAAGAAGACCTGCCATCACGAATCATCGCAGCTGCCACAGGTGCTCACGAAATCAGATGCTCGAGAAATGAGGCCCTTGCTGAAGGCCTGGGCAGTGGAGGTTTTTGCACTTTGAGCACAGAGGGCCGGAGTATCCGGCATGCATCGGGAGCGCTTATGCTGCTCCGGCTCTGTCGGCCGAAGCGTTGGTTAGGTAGGTCTGGGATAGGAGGGTCACACTGCTGCACGTGATCAGCTGCCTGTTCAGGAACATGTTTGAGTTGAGATCCTTCCGCTGCCATTTTGGGTCGAGGCGATCGCCTCGAAGGTCCGTGAAGGATCTGTTTTGTGGACGCAGGAAAGCTCTAGGGCCTGGGATCTGAGCGATGGCTGGTTGGGGTGAGGACAACTGGGATGTCCAAGGTCAGGGCCGTGATGACCAAGCTATCGCCGTGATCGCGGTCAGGGCGAAGGATATGGAGATGGGTGTGGTGGCGGTCGCCGGCGCAATGACGATCGTAGCCGTGGGGGGGGGGGGGGAATCAATTCCCACAGGCTACTCACAACCCCTACGAAGTTCACCTGCCTCACTTCCTGGAGTCGATCGCCGCCGAGTGTGACGACAGCGATCGGAAGACATCCATCATCATGGTGGAGACCAGAGACGATCGCATTCTCTCGCCTTTTCAGGCGCGGTTGGTGAGAAAGATCATAACGAGCTCCGCGAGTTCGATCAACGTGCTCACGGAAAGGGATCACGTGATGACACCTCAGTCAGGTTTTCACCTGTCCCTCTTCGCCAACTACACGCTCGATGGTGTTAATTCGACTGTGGCGATATCGGTCGACTCGAAGACAGGAACACCTTGCGGTGGCTGGAATCGTGCCACAGCGAATGCTCTGAGCCATGCGGCTTTTCAGCCTTTCTCGTGGCCGGTCTGGAATGACACCTCGCCGTCTTACACGGACGTGAAGATCTACAACAGAAACGAGATCTTGTTCCACTGGTTTCGCGCAGACACCGACCTCTCGGTTCAGCAGCAGTTCGCGAATGAGTTCTTCGTTCGAGGGCGTTCGTCGTGGACGAGTTCGGCTGTCTGTGGTGGTTGCTGCTTTTTCAGATTGGCGGGTAATCCGTGTTCTCTTTCGAGTGCGGTGGTCGTACTTACTCGGTCGGGCCCGATGGAACTGTAGTCACCGGGGACAGCGCCAGTGCGTGCTCGCGCTTCGAGCTCCGAGTCAGGGACTGCTCGTCAGAGGATGCGGTCGGGAATGATGCTGACACAGTGGAGTTCCGCTTATCGCGAATCCAACAATCGCATCGATCTCAATTGCGCTCGCACCGCCATGCCAGCCACCTGGTTGACGGTGTCGCACATCAGCGACCCTACGCTCATCCAGGCGATCACCCGGTGCAGGGATCAGCGCGTTCGCGTGGAAGGCCCCGAGAAGACGGGACGGAGCAGTTCGCTCAGCTTGCTGCTGCTCGCCAGCACTGGTGGCACAATGCCATTACTACTACCCTGGATCTCGCCCAGGGTGCTTGGCCGGCTGCGGCCCAGGCGATCGTCGATGTATCACAGAGCTCTGGTGAGGTGGCCCTTCGTCGCCGAGCTCGCGCAGCAGCATAACATTCAGGACAGGGCATTCGCCTCGGCGATCGAGCCGGTCAACTACGATCAGAACCACAAGGAGGCAGCTCGGGATGCTGCTCGTGAGGACCGCTCGTTGTCCAGGTCGACGGCGAAGCTCGCGCCGCAGATGTTCGCAGAGATGACGGGTCCTGGCTCGGTGTTCAATTCGGGCTCGGCTTCAACGAGCACGCCGAACCCCAGCTCAGCAGTCGACGGTCGAGGCTGAGCCTGATCAGGGCGTGTCAGAGAACTGGACGGCGTCGATCGGTGAGTCGGCCTCCTTCAGGCCTCACAGGACGCCGTAAATCGGCTGTTCAGGCGACAGCAAAGACACTCGCGTATCCGTGTTTTGACTTGGCGCGCGGCTCTCGAATCTTCAGGTCGTGCTCGCGATGGAGGTTGGCTCTCCAAGCATGCTCGCTGCCAAAGCGTTCGAGAGGACAGCAAAGTTCGCGCCGGCGGCGCACGAGGTTTTCACCTCTCGGAGTCGCTCGGCTACCAGATGAGCTTCGCTCGTCGCTCGATGCGAAAAAGTACCTAGCTATGCAGATCTCTAATTAGGATATTTTGCCCATGTCAAGCTCTATGACGAGATCGCGCAGGCCGCTGGATGTGCAGATCGCTCCCCTTGTGAGGATCTTCGCCTGATTCGGGCCACTACCGCACTATGGGCATGACGGCCCCAAAAGGGGAGCCGCAGGAGGCTTTTTTCAGTGAGCTCACAAGGAGTCTCAGCGAGGGAGCCGCCCATCCGGCCCTCCGTGTACAGAACGATGAAACGCCTACGGCGTTGGCGACTTCAACCGACCTCGAAGATGTCAGTAGGATGTGGTACTTAGCTTTCTTTTCCAAGTCGCAATAGACGGCTACCGCCTTGGGAAGCGGTGTGTAGTAATCCGGCGTGCCTTATAGGCCATTCTCGTAACTCACCATGAGATACGAGTATGCAGCGCCCGCCTAATCGTCGACTCGACGA